GGTGGTGGATGCCCCGTCCCTGGAAACATTCAAGGTCAGGTTGGACGGGGCTCTGAGCAACCTGCTCTAGTTGAAGATGTCCCTGCCCACAGCAGGGGGGTTGGACCAGATGACCTTTAGAGGTCCCTTCCAACCCAAACTATGCTATGATTCTGTGATCATAGGTTGTATCAGCTGCCTGACTCAGGTGGCTAACCTGAAAGGCACAGTTTTGGTATGTCACTACAGATTTCTTTTAAGGCCTTCTTTTGGCAGGTAAGACTGTTTAAAAAAACCCTAAGTGATCCTGATATCCTTTGTTTCTCAGAAACCAAGAAAATAATCAGTGGTATTGAGGGTGGCACACAGCAGATAGATACAAAAAAATATTCACCAGTTGCTGTTTGGCAGACTTCTGTCAAGCTTTTTATCTGCCACTAACACTCTAGGGCAATAGGTAGGTTCACTTACCTTCATGAAGTGCATTGAAATCCTTTTGTGGATATATATTATAGATTCTTTTCCCCTCGTTCGATCAACAGGAAATCAGCACTCCATCTGCTGCTCATGTTGTTTGCTGAATGGAAAGATGATGGCTCTAGTTTCTTGGTATCACCGCTGTCTTACAGCAACAAGAGGAATAGCTTTGTGTCACGCTAATCTTGCGCTTCGCCCATGTGATGTACGTTCCCATTATATGTGTGTTTTGTGCTTAAACAGTAGTTCTTTAGTTGTAGATAGTTGGGAGCTTTGCAGACGCCCAAGAGCTCAGATCTACTAATATTAACACATGCTTCCCCGCCCCCTTCCTTTCATAACTTGTGATCGCAGAGCCATGAAAGTATGTGAGTCCCTCCCCCAGCACAGGCTGATCCCACCCGGCATATGATCTGGGCTCCATGTCAGCCAGGGCAGGCAGCACCAACTTGCCAGAGCGCTGCGCGTAGCCAGAGCGATGACCTTAACAAAAGAGAGTTTCCACGGGGCTCTTCCACCCGCTTCTGAGGTGACCAAGGCTGACATGGACAGCACCAGAGAGAAGGAGGAGGCTCTGCTGCAGTCTGTGACGACATCTGGAGCAGTGGTGCCAAGGAAGCGAGCGGTGGGAAGGCTGGTCATGCACAGCATGGCGATGTTCGGCCGGGAGTTCTGCTATGCCGTGGAGGCCGCCTTTGTCACGCCGGTACTGCTCAGTGTAGGGCTGCCCAAGAACCTCTACAGCCTGGTGTGGCTCATCAGCCCTATCCTGGGCTTCGTGCTGCAGCCCGTGGTAGGTTCAGCCAGTGATCACTGCACCTGTAGCTGGGGCAGGAGGCGACCTTACATTCTGGGTCTGGGCATCATAATGCTGTTAGGCATGGCTTTGTACCTCAATGGGGACGTGATGATCTCAGGTGAGTGAGGGGCGTATGCTGTGCTGACAGACAAAACTCATCGTAGCCTTTTGAATCAGAAAGAAAAGAGGGGTTCCTTTTTTCCCTGCTTAAAATGGACTGTTAAAATTGGGTATCATGTTACCCAGCTGCATTGAAGGAGCTGGGGAACACTGAAATCTTCATATACATTCAAGCGTAACGCTGCATGTTATGTACCCTGTACATAGTGTTCTGTAGTTTCTGCATGTGATTACAGTATGTTGTATGTTGGTGTGGTTGCCTGATCAGTTCATACAAGTAAAGCACTGCTTAGGGCCAGAGAAGTTTTTACAAACTAACATCTACCTTGCTAAGTTAAATGATCAATATTGTTTGTGTGATGTAATACACATCCAAACTGAATGTGTGTTAATCCCTATTTTAGATGGATTAGCATTCAAAATACATATCTTTAATTATTGCAGCACTGGCTTGACTCGGGACTGTGTTATGCTGGTGAATAATAGAAATCTGTAACTCCTTGGAAACTGTGCTGCACCTGGAATATGCAAAATCGAATAGGAGTGACACCCCTAGATACTGCTATATTTCAGCTTGAGATGTAACTTCCCAAATCTTGATGGAAAGTTGTTGCTGTCATTATGACTTGGCAGAGGGGGGAGGTGTGTGTTTTTATGGATTGATTGACTCTCTCTTCCTGCATATTATTGGTGTTGAATATACTTGTATCCATTTGCTGAAAAAGAGGTGTTACAGTCAACTCTTGATTATCTAAAACAATGGAAGGGTGGGACAAATAGAATAAAACAAAAAAGTACTACAAAATGCATGTGTGTTAGGCTACCAGAGCATGCCAGGGAGGTGTGAAGGAGTAGATTAAGTCTAGTGATGCTCTTGATTGTGGAGCTTGGAGTACCCTGAGCTTGCGCTGACCCAAGGCAGTAAGTCAGCCTAGCACAGCTCAGCGCTACACCGACTCGGTTACCCTGCTTCTCTGATGTGATTCTGGTGTCACTGCTCTCCCTTGCATTGTTTAATTTCTTAATTGTTTAATTTTAAACGTTGTTTAGATTTGGAGGTATCGGGAAAGACAAAATGTGGTTTTGCAGAATATGGCACTGTTGCTGTCAGAATGAGGGTGTTTTTCTTTTTGTAGCTTTCATCGGTGAGAGAGACAATCGGCGGACATGGGCAATAGTCATTACCATGCTGGGAGTAGTGCTTTTTGATTTTGCAGCTGATTTTATTGATGGTCCCATCAAAGCATATTTATTTGATGTCTGCTCTCATCAGGATAAAGAGAAGGGTCTGCATTACCACGCTCTCTTTACAGGTACTCGGATCCCTTACTTTCCTCCCTACCTCTCGAAGGAGGGGAAGGTAATTGCATGGATTTTATTCTTACTGTGTTTCTAATCTTGAATGAACTGATCATCTGACCCTGTGCTTCAGTCACGAGTCTTTTGTTGCCGGGTTTTCACTACTCCAGAGAACAGCAACTTGTGATTGCTGCTACAGGAATTCTGCTGGAGAAGGCTGCAGGCATAAATATTTACAGCAACATAGCCATGATTTAAGTAAGAGCAATTAATTATTTTAAAAAGTGAAATCATGTTTATTCAGCTTGTTCTGATTTTTTCCAAGTTTTTGGTGAAGCCAAAATTAAGGGATGTAACTTGTTTCCTTGCCATAGCACATAAAAATAACATTTTTTACTCAGCATGTGACGTAGAACAAGAGCTGCACAAACCAGTATAGTTGATTTCCATTCTTCAGCAGTGCTCCAATATGTGCTGCCTTCCTGTATAGAAATAGTTCTGTAAAAAATTCAGAGCTTCACAACTTCCACAAAATAAGCCCAAGTGGTTCAGTTCAGGCTCTTGCAAGCGAAGTAAGAGCTTCATTTGCCTTTACACATGTTCGAAATGTTGCTGAGTTACAGAAGGAAACCTTCTGTACAGAAGGAAACCTGTACTATGTGAGCCCTGCATTGAGAAAATGCACAGGGAGGACACGCAAGGCTGTGTACCTGTAATGTTAATCAGGAGGAGCTCCCTGCTGTGTCCGGGAGCAGTCACTGTGAAAGGACTAGGCAAAAAGCAGACTAGATGAGAAGTCATGCAATCTGTTGATGCAGATTTTTGTGGGTACTGAGCCGTACCAAGAGCAGAGGCACATAGATTCAGTGGCAGTTACTCTAGTCGAGGAGGGAGGAGTAGTAGCTATTTGCAACAGGCCGATTTTGGACATACAAAATAGCTGTGTCCAGGAACACAGATTATAAGGGAACCTTAGAGCCACAGGGGAGTGAAATCAGTATGATCCATTAGAAACTGACAGATAAAGCTTTTAACAATCACGTGTTTGGACAGAGAGGGGAGGGAGTCTCTATGTATCTTCTTGCCTTCAGCAGAACTCCTGTTGCAGTTTTTCCTTGGATGATAATAAAAAGAATTGATTTCCAAATTTGGAGCTACAGATTTAGCTGATTCATTTGTGTGCTGAGCTGTGAAAAGGGATGTGGGACAAATAAGACACATCAAATAAGACTGGAACAGATTGCATTATTTAGTCCAGCACCCTGTGCCCTCCATAGCAAGATCACCGGTATCTTAACCCTTCCTGATGGGTAATCACCTAGCCTGTTCTTGAAATCCTCCCGTGATAGAGGTTCTGCAGCCCTCCCAAGGCAGTCTGTTCCAGCACTTCACCGGCCTTGTTGTTAGACAGTTTTCCCTAAAATCTAATCTTAATATCCATTCCCTACAATTTACAATCATCATTCCTTGTTCTATCCCTATTAGACACAGACAGCAATCTTTCAGTTTCTTTTCTAGCTTCTGTTTTAGGTATTATTTTGTTCCCCTATTTAGTTACTTCTTTTTATACTAAGTATCTCCAATATTTTGCTCTCCAGTTTGTCTTCAGTTTAAGGTTTGAACATGAAACTCAATAGCTTTGCAGTTATGAGGCTTATGACCACTGAGACAAAGTACAGAAAGCCCAAAATGAAATCAAAATCCCATGTTTTGCAGGTGAAGCAAATGTAGGTCCTGTTACCTCTGTTACTTTTTGTTAGACAGAATGGTTCTGCCATACATTGTCTTCAGTTCTCCTAAGCAGAAGAGTAGAAATACTTCAAAGTCCTTCAGATGCTCCTATCCTGCTTAACTCCCACGTCCTGCAGAGCCACCCGGTTAACAAGGGGTCAGGACTCCACAAAGCTGCTTCCCCTACCAGAGCTCTGTACTGTATGTAACAGTGTGCACTTTCTTGTGCTTCTGAAACTGTGTGCGCTAATAACAAAAAGAAGAAATTTTTAAAAAATTGGATTGAACACTGGTTTTATTAACCTCAAGACACAAGGTAGCATTCTCATTTTACCTTTTATTCTAACTTTTCTGAGAAAATCAGTAAACGGAATTACACATTCGTATTTGATCCTTTTTGTTTTCTTTTCCAAGTGGTGAGGTACTTGGATTGTGATAACTACAAAGCAATGCTTTGGGTTTTATTTCCTTTTCTTTAAATTTCACATGGAGACAGTATTTCTGTTTAGATTCAGCTATATAAAATGCATTTTACAAAGTCAAAACTAAAAATAGTCTCATAATTAAAAAAATGTGCTGTGAAGTTTTATTAAACCCATAAATTTCAGTAGAATTTTATTTTGTATTACTCACTGTTTCAAAGAAAATAAAGCCTCAAAGAATCAAGAAAAGAGATGGAGGCCCATGTTGCTATATGTTCAGGCATTTTTTGGAGACCTCTGTCCACCAGAGCTGAGGAGATTTTTTGAGAAATGTTTTGGTAACTGCTCATGTATGTGGTTAGCTCAGTATTCCTATTTTTCATGAGTAATATCTGGAAAGTCATTTCTAGTGGAGAATCACGTTGAGGGTATTGTGTACTGTTTGTTTACTTTATCAATGCCAGTAGATCTTTTTTCTCCTTTCCCCCCCCCCCCATAGGTTTGGGAGGAGCCCTGGGCTACCTGACAGGTGCTATGGACTGGGGTCAAACTGTACTAGGATATTCCTTGGCATCGGAGTTCCAGGTGATTTTCTTCTTCGCAGCCTTGGTTTTCCTAGTCTGTCTTACCGTACATCTGCACAGTATTCCTGAAGTTCCACTCAGATACAAAAATGAAGAGACAAAGATCTTGTTGGAAGTGACTGAATCCTATAAATATAGCTCCATAGAGGAGGAAATCAAGAATGGCTACTTAAAATCAACATGTACTGAAATAAAGGCTGCAGCTAAACCAGGGAAATGCGCTGTTATGTCACATACAGAGGTAAGTGCAGAGATGATTTTGTAACCCATATCGTTCCGTCCTTGGAGACCCTTTAATTAGCTAATGCTGACTATTTGGAATGAAGCCCTTTCACACACACAGAAAAAGAATCCTCCACTAGCACACAGGGTCAGTAGAAAGCCTGCTTGCTTTTCCCTTTTTTTATTTATAAAGTCCCAGCAAGAGGGATGAGACAGACTAGTCCTGATGCTTTCAACAATTGGCAGGGATAAGGGAGAACCAGGTTCAGGTTTCTGCTCTGTGTCAGTCTCCTGATATCCTCCTCGTGAATTTTGTCAAGAGGATGTACTTTGTCCTTTAGTCCTGACAGAATTAACACCCCGTTGCTGACGAGGACACCAGACCATTAATCTGATACAAATCTGTAACTCCATTGAAGTCCACACACTTACATAGGCAGGACATACGAAGTGTTTGTTCCCTGGTCTGGTAAACATTCCAGTTATGCTGCTGCTCAACATTTCATTGAGGATTTATTGACAGTACTGATGTGTTTGAAGCTGCTACTTCTACAACAATGCTACCTCACTTCCAGAGTTTTCATTTTGTTTTGAAGTGTTGTTGTAGCTGTGTCTTTGGCAGAACTTTCAGGTGGGAGAGAATAGCGAGTATTTTCAAATCACCATTGTTATTTTGTTTCTGCTGCATTTTTGTGAGAGATTGCTTCAATCTAAGGCAACTAGGAAAAGGTGAATCTATCTGAAAAATATCTGGAGAGCACATTTCTAGAATGGTCTTGGGGACAGATAACAGTTTTTACTGTTTTGTTGTTGGCTTTTAGTGCTAGGAATCCTCACTGCACTCTCATGGTACCCTAGGTAAGCAAAGGCTAATGTACATGTTTGGCTTCTAGTGTAACAATAAGTGATGAAACAGGTGTTTGTTGTTTTAATTTCACTTCTGATCTCTTGGTGTTATGTATATCTATACCTGATACAGGCCTTGATAAATCAGGTCAAAAATACTGAGAATGTGCATATGGTTATAAGTTAGAAATGTAAGCTCATGTTTAAGCTACAAATAAAAAGGATTTATTATCTTTTACTATTTATCATTTGCATTATAATAGCACTTGGTATTCCTAACCTGAAGAAAAATATTGTTACACCAGATACAACACAAAGGTAGAATAAAAGATGAACACTGCCTCATGAGAATGCCAGACAAACACAGAGAGGGGCAGACAGCAAAGCAACAGTTTGTAGGGAGAATATGGCTAGCACACTGCGATGCTGTCCCTGTTTCCCCACCGTAGGCCAACTTGAGCAGCCAGCATTCTTCACCAGCACTGTTCGCTCTGAGCATCCTCCAGATTGTCAGAGATGCTGAGTGTCACTGACTGCTTGGCCCATGTGGGCTCTAAAGAAAGGAAGGTAAATGAAGAAGAAGAAAGCAGATGCAGTGAAAGCAAGGGGAGCAGACTATGGATTGGGGTAGCCTCTACCTTGGCAAGAACCAATTCCACTGAATCAGTAACGTCTGACACCCGAGGCGAAGCTCTGGCGTTCACTGTGGGCCAGCTTGTGCTGTTGCCCTCCTCTCTATATTTTCAGCTGGACAGCCCATCAGAGGCTCACAATGCTTTGATCTGCCTTGTGTTTCTTTGGTGTGCCTGGGCATGTGTAAGTTCTACACACTCACTGTCTTAATGGTCTGTCTCTTGTGGCACATGTTTTCTGAGTTCATGCGTTACTGTAATTGCTTCCTTGAAGAAATGGTTTGGCTTCCTGTTTTTCTGTATCTCTTTTTTTGCTGCAGGCATCAAGGCCCTCTATCTTCTAAATTAAGGACTGTGCTCTTACATGCTAATCGTTACCATGATTATTAATGATATTTGACCTGTTACAGTATGAACAGACATCCGAAGTGATTCGTCTTTTGTTCTTCAGTTTGGTGCCCAATTACTCAGGATCTACTGCCATAAACCCCAAGTTACATTGATTCCTCTGTATCCTTATGAATCATCTTAGGCCTTGAGTTGTAGTGATTTTGTAGAGAAAATGATTGGGTATTGTGAGCTTTTGAAGGACAAGGCACTTAAACAGAGTCAAACTTCAGCACGTCTAAATTAGTGTGGGGTTTGTGTGTTGGTGTGTATTGAACATGTGCATTAAACTTTTCAGTTTCCATTTCCACTCTCTAAAATATCTGAATAGAAAGCAAGCATTTCTATCTAGCTGTCAAATTATTGTTTGTAATTACAGCAGTGTCCTTCGTAGTTGCCTGACCTTATGTTAACACTTTGATTGGAAAGGCTGTTTTAAAGAACTGTGTGGAAGAGTTGAACAAATTAAATAAGCCAAGTCAAACAATAGTAATTATCCTTGAAATAACACTAATGAGTCACTAATGAGAGCGGATTTTTTTGGTTTTTTTTATAACTGTGGAAGAATACAAAGCTTACCCTGTTTAAAAAAAGACAGTGATGCCAAGAGAAATTCCAAGGGATTTGGACAATATGCAGTTCAAGGTGAAAGTCAGCAACTTGAATTTTGGCATTCCCATGAGGATTAAAAACCTCCCACTGGAGCAAAGTATTTTCCAACTTCATATGTGGTGATTATTCATAGAGTAGCTTGCAGCATAAGCAGTTCAAAGGAAAGCAGAAATGTGAAAAGTAAGTAGAACACTGAAGGAAGGAAAAAATGTCATTATCTTACAGCAAATTGAAGACAAAATTTAGCTTTCCAGTAATGAACATAACTTTACAGTTCTTCCACATTTCATGACCATACAGCTTCCCTTACCGTCTCTCCCAACACTGTTGCCTCCAAACATCACTAGAGAAAATTGGAAATGTTCCATCATGCACAGATAAAATAATATCTTTCTTTCTTTAAAAGCAAAGAACCATGCAGGAGCTTTAAAGCAGTAAGAATTGTGTATTGCAAATGCCTGACATCAAGCATACCTACAGCACTAAAAAAAATTCAAGTGATACAAGTGATCTGATGAATGTGGCTGGAAAAGAAACTGAGAGAGAGTTTTTGGGCATAGGGCTCAGACAAGGAGGAGGGAGATAAGGTGGGGCATTGAAGGTGGTGAGAAATTTTGTTTTTCCCCATCAGTGAGATTTGTTAACCAGCACCTGATTTTGAAATGAGTTATTTCTCCCATGGGATGAGGTGTTCAGGTGCTGGAGCTCACATTCTCTGGGTGCTAGGATTCTGAGTGGTGCTGCACCTCCTGTGATGTATCACGGTCTCTCCCTGCTTCATGGAGGGGAGGACAGTAGATAGTGGAAATCTTATGATACGCCAGAAGAAGTGAAGTTTTCTAGGGAATTTAGCACATAGTAGGGAATGGCAACGAGGTCTCAGAAGTGCCGTATTCCACAACTGATAATATTTTAATTCTCAGGAAGTATTTTGAGTTTCATTTTTTCAGTGGCAGCTTTAAATTTTCAATGTAAAGCTGATTGTCTCTATAAAGAAATTGTTTTTGTTTCTGGTTTTGGTTTTTTTGAAACTCCACTGAATCTGTTTTGGCAGAAAATTTTCACTTGGTTCTACAAGTAAATAATAATCCTACTGATTATAACAGCGAGAAATGTTACATCCTTGCTGATATACCCCAGCTCTCCCAGAGTCTCTGTGAATCTTTCAGATGACTTTATTAGGCAATAGCTCTACAAATCAAATATATATTGAAGGACATTCAGTACCCAAACAACCCTTCCTAGCAAAAAATAAAAAACTTTGGAAGTTTAGCAATGAAAATATGCTGAGGCCTTCTTCATTGCTGTCAGCTATTTTATTAGCCTTCAGGGCAATAATACAGTATTATTGTTAAATACTTGCTTTTAGGATCAAAGGCGGATGACCCTTAAATCACTCTTGAAGACCCTTTTAAGCATGCCATCCCACTATCGCTATCTGTGTGTGAGCCACCTCTTTGGATGGATGGCTTTCCTGTCCAACATGCTCTTCTTCACGGATTTCATGGGACAGGTAAAAGCATAAAATCCTCTCGCTCTCTTTCCTCATAGCATATCCTCCTCCGCCAAAAAGAAAGGAGACAGTGTTATAATCCTGTAGAAATGACAGTGGTGGCAGAGCCAGTTGTATCTATCTGGAGGGCTCAACAAGAGTTTTGTAAAACAGCTAATTGATCTCAGGCCCTCGTTCTGAGCCAGTCTGTTGGATCTTTGGGGAAAACCTTTTAGTATTTGTAAGGCTATTGCTGTCTATTTAACTGTTCCAAATGAAGCTCTCGGAGCTGTTCCGAACACATCCATTCTCTGCTTTGGCTTTGCAGCCGCTCCGAGATGGACAGGTTTCCTAACTAAAGTAATGCTGATGTTGCTTGGATGCAGCTGGCCTTATCCTGGTGCGTGGGCACTGTTGGCACAAGGCGGTTCACCTGCACTGCAACCTCCCTGGCCTCAGGCTCTGCAGCTCTTTGCACACAGTGAGCTACTTGGTAGCTGAAAGCTCTTGTCTCCTTGAATCTGGCTGTCCCTGCCATACCTCTTTAAACCCTTCCCTGAGTCCCTTCTACCAGCAATTATTTGCCTTCGTGATGCCCAGTGCTCCCTTTTCCACGCCATTCCCAGGCAGTAAGGCTGTATGTCCCTGCCAGTGATTCTTGCCTATACGATCCTGTCTGCCTCCTTTCCTCCAGGCTACAAATATGCTCCCGGCCCAAATCCTCTCATTGTGACTTACTTTTTTCTGTGGTTTCCACCCAGTATTCCCATTTACTTGCCTTTTTTTGTCTCTGTAGGCGGGAGGGAGGGTTTTTTCCTGCAGTGTATATGAACAACTGAAAGAAAAAGTTTTGCTTGCCTAGATAAGGAACTGAATAAGACAATTACTGGGTAGAAAAATGAGTGTGTTGGGGTAAGCCTGAAAGAGAAAAAAAAAAAAAAATTAGATAAATTAGGGAAAGAAAGGCTAAGGCAAGAAGGCAGAAGTGGAGAAAGAAGAAGAGTGGGAAATAAGACACCCAAAGGAAAAAAGAGCAACTGAGTCAGTGTAGAGTAGACAGTCCAGGAAAAGGTAGAGGGTAATAAATGAGGAGGAGCCTGGGATGTGAAAATCTGGGAGAAATGAGTGTGAAACCAACTGTGAAGGGATGGTCAGGGCACTGCTTAACAGATTTCTTGGGTGCTAATTATCTCCCCTACCAGGGATGAGGCCCTGTGTTGAGTCCCATGTTCCCATAAGAAAGAGGTATTATATACATCCCCATTATATACATGCAGTCCATCCTTGCCTTCTGTGATCTTTGTGGTCTCTTTTAGGTTGTATACCAGGGTAGTCCTTATGCACCTCATAACTCCACACTTTACCTCACTTACAAAACAGGAGTAGAGGTGGGATGCTGGGGGCTGTGCATCAATGCAATTTCTTCATCAGCCTATTCTTGTAAGTACCCAGGATTGTACTCCAACACTGTGTTTTGAAACAGTATTTAAACTGTTCACTATTTGCCATTGTTTAAAAAAATAAAGTGATGCCAAATTAACTGGGTTTTTTCCACAGTAAAACTTTAAGAAATGTTACATTCTCAGCATTGTTAGAAACTCGTATCTTAACACGAACAGTTCCTGACCACATGATGAGGGCTCACTTTGGCAGTAAGGCATTGTTCTGCATGTGAACTGACCCTGAACACTGAAAATCATCCTGAATTTAAATGCCAGACTAAAATGGATGCCACGGGCATCATTCTGAGATGCTCTTTCACCTAGCAGTGCTCTGTAGCTGTAGGTTCTCGAAGGTCCCTCTGATGGCCTCTCCCCATCTGGAGATTATAAAAAACAACTTTTTCACAATGCAGTAGAAGTTCTTGCCAGAAGCATGAACCTTGCTCTCCAAAATTATTTGTAAATATGCTAGCACAGTTCCCCAGGTAGATTTCACCATAGCTCTTACTAAGAATTAAAAAAACCTACTTGCGATCCGAAAACTCAAATGAGTAGCATTTTGGGGGCTGAATTGAGCATCTAAAAGAGGCTTGAGGGAAATCTTTTTCCCTTTGGAGCTTAACTACAGGCATTTCTGTAGCGCCTTTCTCAGCTCAGACAGAGGTTGATGCCAAATGTTCGCATTATAATCAAACAGCGGAAATGTCTGAGGTTGTCAGTGAGGGCAGTTCTTCCAGAATGGTTGTTAACTACTTCTTCTCTGGAGTTGGCTATGCCAGAATAAGACTATCCCCAGAGAAAGCAAGTATTCTTTGGCAAGTTTATACCCACAATAATTTGAGGCAACTTCCAAAATCAGTAAGATTATCTCCTTCATTGCATTTTACAAAATAAAACCCTTTAAAGGAACTCCCTGATGAAATGTGACCTGTTTTAGTTTAGTCTTATCAGCATTTTCACTTTCTTTTCACAGACCTGCAGAAAATCCTTCTGCCGTACATAGGATTAAAGGGACTTTATTTCATTGGATACCTACTTTTTGGATTGGGTACTGGATTAATTGGCTTGTTTCCTAATGTCTATTCCACTCTGGCTCTATGTTCCCTCTTTGGTGTCATGTCCAGCACACTGTACACAGTGCCATTCCACCTCATTGCAGAGTATCACAGGGAAGAAGAGGTGAGTTCAATGTCTAAGGAATGGTAAGTTTATATCTGTCTGGGTCTGTTTAGTCTATTTTGGGAGAAAACTGGATAGAACTGGTGAGCAGCTTTTAATTTTAATTTCAAACTATTTATGATGACACATGTTATGAATGGAAAGTTTCTGACAGGGAGAGTTAAAGTCCCAGCTCCAAACTCTCCAAACAGTCCTGCAGCAAGACAAATAATTAATTATCATCACAGCTGAAACAAAGCCAATCGCAGTATGTGTTCAGGCAGTAAGCAGATAATAGGGCTCCACTTCGTGTTGCCTTCAAGCTTCCTTATATCCTTCCTTCCAGCCGTACTAGCTGAGGAATTGACTTCTGTGTTCCTAAGGTTAATAACCACACTGTAAAGGCTGGCAGAAGTCTTAGTTAACTGCAAAGTGTTACAAAAGCTGTTAGCTAATAAAGATATAAAATTTCATAAAGATATGAAATTCAAGTACAAACAGGTTTATATAGTCCAGTATTAAATTATAAACCACGTTCTCATTGTCTCTCTAAATATCTGGCGTTGGTTTTTGGTCCTCCACTGCATGAAATCCTGTTTCCAAGGAAAATCTGGAAAAGTTTGCATTCCTTATATCATGGTACTGGGCACAGCAGGATCTTCATGTCTGGTTAAGTGTTGAGCTCTTTAATGGAAAAGTTCTCTCAAGTCTCTTAAGCTAGTGAGAGAGCTGGAAACAAGAAGGATTAAGGAAAGTTGGGAGAGTTGGGAGGACTTAGGAAAAGTTCTCATTATATCTGGAGACATTTGAAGAAATTAGTAAAGGAAATGTTGAACCATTGAAAAACAACGTAGAAACATAGTTGAGACCAGCACAGGTCTAGATCAAGTCCCTGAGAACATGTCCTACTGTTCTGTACAACTTTTAAGCATCACCATCTGAATGATGAATACAAGAAAACTCTTAATTATTCTATTGAATCCTAGGAGGATATCTCAATGAGGAAGGAGAGGCGGTGGGGTGGCCCTGTATGTTAGGGAGTGTTTCGATTGTATAGAGCTCAAAGATTGTGATGATGATACGGTTGAGTGTTTATGGGTAAGGATGAGGGGGAAGGCCAACGAGGCAGATATCCTGCTGGGAGTCTGTTATAGACCACCCAACCAGGATGAAGGGGCGGATGAAGCGTTCTACA